TCTTGTTGGTCCTTTTTCACATCGTCATCCATGTTTGCGAATTTATAANATACAAACACCAAGACCTAGCAGCGGTCGGAGATAAGCAGTGTTTTTCTATCAATATGTGGTTTTATGTGAAGACTATTACAAATCGTCTGCTCACACTTTGTCACCCCTTGAACGACTACGATAACATTCTGTCTTCTAAAGTAGGAGAGGGAGAATGAAATTTCATCGAAAACGAAAACAAGTTATTGAATGAAGGTAACTCACCAGTACAGGCAGCGGGACCCTAGCCGGTTTTTCTGAAGGAGTCCTGAAACGACAAGATTTCAATAAGTATGTAACAAAGTGAAAGAAGATTTGTCCAGCGCCTTTAAGACGCACTTCTCAGTATGAACCTAGTAAAAAGGGCTAAAGTGCAGCATGGTCGCTGGCCAGAACCCAAACAAGCTCCCGCCCCCCATCACAAAATCAAAGCCCTCAAATCCTAGAGGCTTTTATCGGAATCTGACTCAAAGGACAACTCCTGATGTTTAAAAACGTATTAATCTGGCCAGTATTTTATAGATTAGAATGAATCGGCCGTTCAGGACAACATCGAGGGGAACGTGTTCGAGGACGGGAAGCGCCAACTCACTTCTCGGTTGACTTTTCTTGTTGGTCCTTTTTCACATCGTCATCCATGTTTGCAAAATTATAATACAGAAATTTCTTAAACAAAGAGGATTAAATAATTCCGAGTAATAATAAAGGATTAACGTCGAAGTCTAGCTACGTAGCTAGGAAGTCAAACGCTTAGGCAAACAGTGAAGAATTTGAGCCGAAGACAAATAGCGTTGGCAAGATAAATTGGATGATTTTCTTCGAAAAAAATCTTAATTCTGTTGACATTCCATTGAACGGTACTTACGCAAGTTACTCGACCGAATGACAATCAGTACATCATCCTTAAGTTCGTAAATGAATGAAGAAGAAGTTGAAGAGGAATGTGAGAATGTGGCAGCATTGACGGGAAAGATAAGAAGCTTCGAACAGATGGTTAGTTTGTGTCGTCAGTGGCGTCTCCGTTATCGTCATGAAGAGTCAACTCCAACGCAATTTTAAGCAAAATGTAGCCGGCCACAAAAGCAGCCAGCAGGCATGGAGATGATCGATGCCAACAACGCCAAGGAAGTTATACATTCCCAAGGTAGGAGAGGAGGCTTATAGAAACTTATTCAATAAGGCCCCGAAGCGATTCCAACCAGTTTTGATGAAAAGTCTCTTGATCCTACAGAAATCCTTCATTTTCTGTCACCAGTCTATGATTGAACTCAGCTTTTCAGAGAAAAGCTGCAGCAGGCGCTAGAGTGCGCTATGCCTTACTATGTAAAAAAAGAAGTACGAGGAGATGTGGAGCATCGATTTGTTCGGACATAGCAAGCCGATGCCACATTAGTTTAGGGGAGTAACACAATGTCTTGCACAGCTGTTGTCTCCTCAGGTCATTGTGTAGATTGGTCGAGCTCCCGTTCATATGCCATCATGATTTTGCTCCGAGGTCGGCCGTGTCACACATCATGGGACACCTGCTTCATCCTTCAATATAGCCACCTTTATTCTTCCTCTTTTCCTTCTCACACTCTTAATATTTCACCCATGTCTTTAAGTTGATTTAC